CTAAGTTGGTTTTGTCCTTGACCTTGTGCCACAGCACACTTTTGTCATTGCAACACTTCTTACTGCTTTCTTCTTTTGCTTTTGTGGACTCTGACTCATTTCTTAATATCAGTGTAATCACAAAGGGCAAAGAATATCTTACTTCCAGAGATAGCTATGTATATATAATTTCTAAGAATTCCTGAAACCATAATTTTCCCCTCCCATCTCTGTGTTGGTAGGATTTAAGAAACCTTTTTATTTTTCTAGGATGAAAGTATTTTGCTCTGTAGTTTGGGAATCCCTAATTATCTTAACCCCATGGAATATATCTTACATTGCATCTAAAACATTGATCTTTTTAGCATTTTAGGCTAGATAGACCAAGTACAGTTACTTTGGACCCTTCATTACAGGAACATCTTCATGTGAAAATAAAACATAAATTTAGGGTATGTACCATGGTTTATTAATATACTGCACTATAATTGCAATTTTCACAAGTAGTGATAACCATTTTGGTCCCTTGCAGTGGTTCTCAACCTTCTGGCCCTTTAAATACAGTTCCTCATGCTGTGACCCAACCATAAAGTTATTTTCGTTGCTACTTCATAACTGTAATGTTGCTACTGTTATGAATCGTAATGTAAATATCTGATATGCAGGATGGTCTTAGGCAACCCCTGTAAAAGGGTCATTTGACCGCCTTGCAACACACAGGTTGAGAACCGCTGCTTTAGGGGGTCAAATATATAGAATTCCTATGTAAAATGCACTTCAGAATTGCATTTTAACTTTTCACCAAATTCTTTCATCCCAGGAAGACCTACTAATTTGTTGATGAATATAACTTTGTCATGCTGTATATTACTCTTTTTTTCAATTCTGCAGTGCACAATTGTTGCTGGTGCTTAAAATTTCAATGGGGAAAAATAACGTTTAGTAAATATGATGTTGGTTTAATGGCTTACTATGCAGATGAAGCTTTTTTCCTGATCAATTGAATGTTTCACTACCAGAAATGTTGTTTTATCATTTTATAGGAATGTTATGCATGTTACCTAATATGCATTTAAATTTTAGTAAAATCATTTTATGCATTTGGGTGTATAACTACCTATTGATCTATTGATTGATAGATTTATACTTCTATATGATTCCAGTGGACTGACTTTTTTCAAGAGAATATTTGTATTAGGACCTAAAGATAAATGTCTACCTCTCAATCCAAAGTTGCATGGATGATACTTAGCTGAGATGCCCAAGTTAGTTTCTCACATTATTCTATATAAGCATGATTTGAATTTATGTGTGAGCATATGTTCTTGATGAAAAGGGGGCAGCTGGAGGCAATAATGTCAGAATACCACTTGCATGGGTTGAAGTAAGGCTACTTAGCTATGACGCTGGCTCCTCTGGGTAACAATCTGCCCATCGATAAGGTAGCACAGAGGTGGGAAAGAAAATACAAAGGCATCTGGAAAATGAACTCTGATAGATTTTTATAAAATTTTCCTTAAATTTCTAATCTCTAATATCCTTAACACGGGGATTGAAGTCTTCCCTATTGTGACTTTGCACATACTGTTTGAACTCGAACCCTTAGAACTATATGTCTGAGAGCTGAACGTGTTCTTGGTCCCAAATCACTCCTGTCACTGCTCGGAAAGCAATGCAAGACAATAAGTAGTATTCACCTGATTGCTTTCCTGCTCCAAGACAGCTGGTGACACGTGTCTCCCTGATAACCGGGAGCTTCAGATCTAAGGCAGGGATAAAGGGAAGCTCGGAGCTCGAAGAATCTAAATTTGACAGCCGATGGCTGAGGAGAGGGTCAGCAGGGATAGAATCTGTGACATGTATAAGAAAGGAACAAAATTTATCTGCTCTGGTTGCAATGATTAGATGTCTCTTTGTCGGGCTTCCTTACAGCGGATGACTGATTGTACCCGCCAGCTGGCTAATATCATAATTAACAAAGTTGCTACTACGTTGGCAAAGTTTAATCGAAAAATTTGCCAGTGATATGATGGCATTGTCACAAAGATCACAAGGGACACGGAGCCCACTTCTGCTCAAGGTGGAACGGCAAAGGTGTGTATGCAAGCGGAGAAATCGCAAACTTGTTCAGCCAAAGGTCGGTTTCTTTCCTAATTCTACATCCTGGGAGTTCTTTTAAGATTGTTTTGTGTGAGGGTTGGTGGATTCTATTTTGTTGCATGACCAAAATGATTTGTAGAAAAGATCCATAAGCTCCTTGTGTATGTAAGGCATATTTTCTGAGAGCTTTGGTGGTGTATTTGTCCCCAAATCTGGAAATTCAGAAATATAACGAGATAAGTTTTCGATGCTGAGCGTTTTGCCTGTTGTTGTGTCTGGCTGATCTTTATCAGGTTTCAAAATAATGATTTGGTAACAAATGTCAATTGAACATTTATATTGTGTAGCGTTGGATTTATTTTCAACAATGTAAAAGCCCTGCGCTGCCTCATTCTATCGTGTCAACCTAGTTACAGGAGCAAAAAGGAAAGCGAGCATAGTCATGGGAGATATAGAGGTTCTATTTCAGCTTCCAGAAATGCTCAAAGTGGGGGATGGAAGGGCTGAAATCTTGATTTTAATTAAACAAAGTGATTGGGGCTTTTTACATTTAGAGAGACCGGTATTTCTTGAAATGATGTGCTATTCCCCCAGTGCCAGTCTGACCATTGACTGTTTTACCTATATTTTCTTTTCACTGTGATTTGCTCTGATTGATTGAATATTCAAACTCCCGAGAGTTTCCCAAATGATAGCCATCACATATTGCTGATGGATGAACATGAATACCGGTGAAGAGGGACATGTGCCTCTGTGTACATGCCTGCGCGCTGCCTCCGAGTGCGGAGGCAGGAAGGCATCTCAAAAAATATGCAGAAGGCAAAGTTTGGCTTATTTATGCTGTGTCACACCACTGCTGTAATACCAAGGCAATCAATTTGCTATATAACTGAAGGCAGACGTTAAGGTTCTTTTATTTTCCCTATGTGGTCATCCAGGCCACTATATAATGGCAAAACACACACACATACACACACACACACACACACACACACACACACCAATTCAGTTTTTGCCTGTTATTCTTTGTCTTTTGTGTTAATAGCAGTGTTCAAACATCATGAAATAACATTTTGGAAACAAATTAATTTATAGCATGTATATTTTTTATCAGCCCATTTAAACTTACTCATGGGTTTCATTCCTAACCGTGGGAGACTAGTAGTTTGTGTGTAGTTATTTTGAAATTTGACAATAAAATTTTATATTCTCAAATTTTAAAAGTGAATCATGTAATGATTACAAATTTTAGAGTCTTTAAGTGTCCAGGTACCTTCCTAAAAGCCACTTATTGAAATTTTGCTGAACATTTGACTTACATTTTTAATCTTTTCTGAAACTGAATGATGTTAATAAAAAAAGCTGAAAGTGAAGCTTTCAATAAATATGTGATTATATTCCCAGACATCATTTTTTAGAGGAGAATGTTAGTCTCATAACAGAAACCCTCTTTTATTTTTCTTTGACTTTACATCTCGTTCCTCCTAATATTTAGTACATAATAAGCACACAATTTGTATTTATTGAGTAAATGAATGACATTGTCTTTCTGCTGCTATTCAAATATGGTTAACATTTGCTTCCTCCAAACCAATAATAACTTTTGTGTGTGGTAAACATTATAGACAGAAACAAGTAGATGAATGATATAATCACAGACAATAAGGAGGATTAAGTTTCTAAAATAATAAAATGTTGTTTTAACCTAAACCTCCATACTGTTTTGTGTAATTGAGATTTGCTATTATATCAACTCAGTTGGAGTAGCAGAGGTCTATGAGGATTAGAAAGGGCTAGGAAAGTGGTTCACAGCTAATGCACCCGCTCCTTTAAACAGGATTATCTCCTGAGATGTGTAGAAATGAACTCTTGTCAGAGTTTCAAAGGAATTAATATTTTTGGTAAAATGTGCTAATGTAAAGAGTTAGAAGATTAGTAGTGCATAATGAAAGCAATGCATTCTTACGCATGGAAATAGGAATGTAATAAACGTCCTGCAGGTGATTGGGGCTGCAGCAATTTTATTGAAGATTAAAGTTTGATTGACCTTTGTTAGGGTGATTAACCCTTCTGAAATTAAAAGCCAGAGCTGAATTATTCTGGCCAATTTAAATGCAAACATTGAGCAGGTCGTATGTCATTCAAATAATAATAATAAAAAACCCTCCTATTTTAATTTTCAATTTTGCACATCTCAATGGGATGCTGTTTGGAAGGATCATAGCTCTGGCAAGAGCATCTCTGTGGCAGAGAATATAGAATAACGTTTAGATAATTAAGAGCATATGGAAAGAGTCCCAGGCATCACTCCCTCCATTCAAAATATCAAAACCACCATCCTCACAAAAACAGGGAATCTGAAAGCAGACTGCACATACCGAAAATGCATAATCTCATTAGAAAACAATCTAAGAATATCCTGAAAAGGTTGGGAATAAATAACATTCTAATCCAATGCCAACACCCAAGCTGCATATCATATCCGTGCTTAATCTGTATGCTGTCTCCTAAGAGTGAAGCTGTTCATAAGAGGGGATTGCTTCTGATGTCTGGAATTTCATTGCCCATGATCTCTGATAGTCGATGGATATATTCAGTATTTCCATTAAGTTAAAAAATGTCATAGGAGGAGCAAACGCTAGTTATTTACAGAGCCATTTAATGGTTTGGTTTTATTTTTCTTCATTAAATTTTCTTGAAGCCTTTGAAAAGTTGCATATTCACATGGCTTCAAAAGACTGTTTCCATTTTTCATAACATATTACATTTTCTTTATTGCTAAGTCAGTGAATATTTTTAGGTTTAGGTTCCCTTTTATGTGTCTGCGGACTATTAAAATGATAATAAAGGCTCTCTCTTCATTCCATATGTAATTTATTTCTCTCTCTTTTCATCAAAGAATTCACTCTGAATGTGTCGAGGTAGAAAAGTCCAAGGTATTATAATATAAAAATTAAGAAGCCCCAGGTGCTACAGTTTATTTTGTGCAAGCTTTTCATGTACTCTTTTAACATTCTTTTCAAAGACAGGTTTCTACTCCGGGCCTATGAAGAAAGTCAAAGATGAAAAACTTGTGATAGACTGATCTTATTCAGCCAGCCCAGGTAGTGGCATTCTCCAGAGAGCTGGATAATACCTTGCAGTATAGATTAATAACATGTTTAACTAAGATCTGTTTGCTATAAGGATAATTTCCTCATTCTTAATTGTGGGGCTAGAATTTAACCTCAAATTGTCAACAGATACATTGTTCTGTACCTGCCTGATAAAGTAGAGATTTTCTGCTTTAGCTTTGGTACATTGAACTGCCAGACTTAAAAAAACACCCTGTTGTTCCATGATGATACTAGTTTTCTTATTAAAGATAATCTTCACTAAAAGGTAAACACAACTGCTAAATTAAATCTCTAAAATAAGCACTATTAATTCTTCAGATATAATTCAATAATCATCTCTGATATGATTATTCTTATTTTACCTCTTACCAGAACTAAATGAAAATCATTTTTGGCATTAAACCATATTGAAAATTCAACATGCTCTAAGCACCAAAAGCTAATGTGCCGAACTACTGACAACAGACATCCTTTTCTGGGTTTCTGTTAATTATCAGCAATTTTTTCCATAGGAAAAAATCATGGCTTGAGAAGGGGAAATTCATATTGTCTTAAGAGTGTAGAAAAATGAATTGGTGAAAGAGCAAAGACAAATAAGATTATATTTTGTTAAATTCCCAAATCCAATCATTTGTTTTGCTTTAGTGTGCTTGGAAGACATTTTTATTTCTTTATTGCCTTTGTTTCTGGCTATCTGTCCCCTCTGATCCATCCAGTTTCAGATCTGATATTTTCCCCTTATAGCTGTGAAGTGACATTTTCTGCCATTAAACAAGTCAAAATTAATCTGTTTGATATTTTTATGACCTCATATTTTGGTCGGAGTCCTGTTTAAAAAGCAGGCAGCTTTAAAGAAATGACTAATAGTGTTGTTTTATTCATTGCATATTGTTTGTGAATCAACAATTGAATTCCACTAAAACTTTAGGGTAAGCTGACCATAAGCAATTTTATTGTGTGGGGCTAAAGAGAGCTAATTGAGAAATTCAAAGATTTTCAGAGTTTTTCAAATCATTAACAGTCAGAAAGTAATCACATGAACTTTTCAAGATAGTATTCTCTTTAATTCTAGAATAAAAAGGAGTTGAGTAATTTTGGTTGAGTGAATTATTTATTGTGATTTGTTTGACAGAATAATAAAAGTACTCTAGAGACAATAAAAGTGCTCCATTGTTACATTTCCAGCTAATTGTGAAGGTTCGTTCCCTAGAATTAGTTTTCAAGTGAATTGGAAGCCTACCAAAGGTAGTGTAGTGATGCATGGCTTATTGATGCATTCACGATATTTCTATGAAAATGATCACATCACCTCTACATATTATTTTAGATCCCAGAGAACTGCTTAGTAAGATAACTTTGACTAAAATTCATTTAGTATATTTCTAAAGTCATCACTGACAGACCTTTATTCAGTTTGAAGAGGTATTTATTGACCATCTTCTATGTTCCAGGTATTCCTTCCAACCCAGTGAGGTGGGTGTCTGACACGTTTTATGGGCCCCAAACTGAGGCTCAGGACGGGGAGTGATTTGCCAGAAGTGAGACAGCCAGTCAGTGGCACAGCCTAAGTGGGAAGCTGGTCCTGTATTTCAAGACCTTCTTCACCAAGGCTATCATTGTGAGACTTATAGCATTCCAGTGTCCTAAAACTTGGTGACTAGGAGCACAGGATTTTTAGATGAATTAAAACACTTACTCTAGACCAGTGGTTCTCAACCTTCCTAATGCCGCGACCCTTTAATACAGTTCCTCATGTTGTGGTGACCACCAACCATAAAATTATTTTTGTTGCTACTTCATAACTGTAATTTTGCTACTGTTATGAATCATAATGTAAATATCTGATATGCAGGATGTATTTTCATTGTTACAAATTGAACATAATTAAAGCATAGTGATTAATCACAAAAACAATATGTAA